AAGGTTTGGGGCCAATGGTTGAGTTTTGGGGTAGGAGCAGGGGAGGGTTTGGGGTCAGTGCTGACCATTGGTGAAAATGGGGACAAAGGGTCAAGGGCTGGGTCAGTGGGTGAGGTTTGGGGGAAGGGTCTGGGGTTGGGGACTGGGGGGAACTCGGGGACGGGGCTGGATCCACAACTGGCATCGTCACAATAAGCAGCAGCATCGCCCCAATTCCAAGCGGCAGCACATTTGGCACAGAAATAGGATCCGGAATCCTCGTCCTTGAGGTTGTTCATGGTCAGCGTCACCAAGCTCTGCCCGCTGTCCCTGGAGATCCTGAAACGACCCTGCACCGACAGCGCATAGGCGGTGTCAGCACCATCGTTCCTGATACCGGAGACCCATTCCAGCCCCTGCCCGGGTCTCTGGCACACCCAGAGCATTCCAAAATTCCCAAAATCGAACCCGGACCCTTGGCACAGAAATGTCAGGAACCCCCCGGGGGGCTGGAAGTCCGGCCCGCACTCCAGCAGCGTCATGGCCGCCCGGAGCCTTGCGGGAAAATGGGGAGATGATGGAAATGAGAAACCTGATTGGTCAAGGGCCCCTAAGTTGGTGCGGGCAGCTGGACAAAGGGGTAGAATCAACCTGGGAGGAGGATGAAGAACTCTAAAGATCCCAGTTTGGTGCCAAGGGTCAGGATTTGGGTCAAGGGTTGAGCTTTGGCCTCATCCCCATCTCCCCTTTGTCCCGCAGGGCTCCGGGCGGCCGTGACCCTGCTGGAGTGCGGGGGGGACCTCCAGCCCCCCGGGGGGTCCCTGTGCCTCCTCCGCCGAGGGTCCGGGTTAAGTTTCAGGAGTGTTGCCCTGCAATGGGCGGGCCAGAGACCCGGGCAGGGGCTGGAGTGGCTCGCAGCGATGCACAGCGGTGGCAACACCGAGCACGCGCCATCAGTCCAAGGCCGGTTCAGGATCTCTAGGGACAACGGGCAGAGCTCGGTGACGCTGACCATGAACAACCTCAAGGGCGAGGATTCCGGATCCTATTTCTGTGCCCAATCTTCTGGTGATAATTGCAATCCTGGTGCTAATTATGAAGAGGTCTGAGGTGGATCCAGCCCCATTTCAGTGTCCCCTCCCGTCCTCAACCCCCAGGTCCTTCTCCCAAATCTCCGCCCTTGACCGTTTGTCCAACGTCTGCCCCATTTCCACCCATGGTGACCAAAGACCCCAAACCCCGACTGGTTCTGCCCCAAACCCAACTGAGTTGGTGCCAAAATTTGCCCAATTTCACCCCAAATCTCAGCCCTCGGTGATCATTCACGGGCCAAGGATGACATTTGGGGCAAAGAGTTGAGTTGGGGGCCGGACGCAGGGCAGGGTTTGGGGCCAATGGGCAGCATTGGGGCAAAGGGGGCAAGGCTGGGACAAAGGGTCAGGGTGAAGGTTTGGGGACAATGGTTGAGTTTTGGGGCAGAAACAGGCGAGGGTTTGGGGTCAGTGCTGACCATTAAGGGAAATAGGGACAAAGGGTCAAGATCTGAGAAAAGAGGTGAGGTTTGGGACGAAAATCGAAAATTTGGAGATCCAATGATAGGAAAGGAGCAAAATCTAGAAGTTTGACGCTATCAACAGCATTGTCACCATGATTAGCAACAGCCCAACAATCAGCACAAAAAGCCCTGGCACAGAAACAGGATCCGGAATCCTCGTCCTTGAGGTTGTTCATGGTCAGTGTCACCGAGCTCTGCCCGTTGTCCCTGGAGATCGTGAACCGGCCCTTGACCGATGGCACGTAGCCGATATTTCCACCAGTGTTGGTGATCCCCCCGAGCAATTCCAGTCCCTGCCCGGGTCTCTGGCGCACCCACTGCATGCCAAAACCCCCAAACCTAAACCAGGCCCCTCGGCAGAGGAGGCGCAGGGATAGCCCCGGGGGGTTGGAGCTCCCCCCCGCACTCCAGCAGGGTCACGGCCACCCGGAGCCCTGCGGGACAAAGGGGAGATGGGCATGAGGAACCTGATTGGTCCAGAGTCTCCTAGTGGGCAGGCCCAACTGGACAAAGGGAGAAGACCCACCTTTGAGGAGGATGATGAACTCCAAGTGTCCCAGTTTGGGGCCGATAGTAAGGATTTGGGTCAAGGGTTGAGCGTTGGCCTCATCCCCATCTCCCCTTTGTCCCGCGGGGCTCTGGGCTGCCGTGACCCTGCTGGAGTGCGGGGGGGACCTCCAGCCCCCCGGGGGGTCCCTGCGCCTCCTCTGCCGAGGGTCTGGGTTTGATTTTGGCAGTTTCTCCATGTTCTGGGTTCGCCAGAGACCCGGGCAGGGGCTGGAATGGCTCGCAGGGATCAGCAGTGATGGTGCCAACACCTTCTATTCACCATCATTCAAGGGCCGGTTCAGGATCTCCAGGGACAACGGGCGGAGCTTGCTGACGCTGACCATGAACAACCTCAAGGATGAGGATTCCGGATCCTATTTCTGTGCCAAATGTTACAGCAGTGGCTGTGGTAATGGCGCTTATGCTTATGGTGTTGATCTTGGTTGTGGTCCCAAGCCCTTTTTTCTGTGTTCCCAAGTATCACAGAATTCTCTGATCCTTCCCCAAAATCCCAGCCTTTCTCCTGAAATCTCAGCCCTTTTCCCCCAAAATCTGCCCCTGCTGCCCAACTCTCGACTTTTGCCCAGTTTTGCCCATTTCACCCCAATCTCCCCCAGCTCCCTGGCCCTGAATGGAAGAGGCCTGACCTGGAGCCCAGGGGTGAAGGTTTGGGGCCAATGGTTGAGTTTTGGGGCAGGAGCAGGGGAGGGTTGGGGTCAGTGCTGATCATTGGTGCAAATGGGGGAGATTTGGGACCAAGGCTCAATGGGTGGGTTTTGGGGGAAGGGTCTGGGGACCCGAGACAGGGGAGACATGGGGACGGGGCTGGATCCACAACTGGTGTCTTCAGCATATGCAGCAGCATCGACCCAATTGCTAGCAGCAGCAAATTTGGCACAGAAATAGGATCCGGAATCCTTGTCCTTGAGGTTGTTCATGGTCAGCGTCACCGAGCTCTGCCCGTTGTCCCTGGAGATCCTCACCCGGCCCCTGACTGGTGGCGCATAGCCAGTGTCAGCACCATCGTTCCTGATCCCCGCGAGCCACTCCAGCCCCTGCCCGGGTCTCTGTCGGGCCCATTGCATGGAAAAATTCCCGAAATCGAACCCAGACTCTCAGCAGAGGAGGCGCAGGGACCCCCCGGGGGGCTGGAGGTCCCCCCCGCACTCCAGCAGGGTCACGGCCGCCCAGAGCCCATCCCCAAATCCTCACCAATTTCACTCATAATTCCTCTGGTTTTGTCCCAAATCTCCACCAGATTTTTTTGGGTATCCTGACGTTCCTAAAACCCTGCAAGTAAACTCAATATTCTCATTAATAATTGGACACCTTTTCCTGAGTGTTCAACATTGATTTCAAAATAATAGCTTATTGACAACCCCCAAACCCCCGGGACCCCAACCCCCAAAGCCCCTGGGCACATCCCGGCCACGGCCTCGAGCTCCTTGCAGGTCCTGGCCCTGCTGCTCCATCCAGCCCTCCCAGGTGTGTCCCGCCCCTTTTTCCTGGAAGTCACTCCCCTTTTCGCCTCCTGGACTTATCAGGTTTCTGATCCCCATCTCCCCTTTGTCCCGCAGGGCTCCGGGCTGCCGTGACCCTGCTGGAGTGCGGGGGGGACATCCAGCCCCCCGGGGGGTTCCTGCGCCTCCTCTGCCAAGAGTCCGGGTTAAGTTTTGGCAGTTTTGGAATGAGGTGGATATGCCAGAGACCTGGGCGGGGTTTGGAGTTCGTAGCACAGATCAGCTCTGCTGGCACCACCCACTATGGAGATTCGGTCCAGGGTCGGGTCACGATCTCCTGGGACAACGGGCAGAGCTCGGTGACGCTGACCATGAACAACTTCAAGGACGAGGATTCCGGATCCTCTTTCTGTGCCAAGGATTCCGATGGTGGCTGGAATGCCGCCCATGCCATTGGTTTCACTCCCGGTGGTTGGGTTGGTGTTTGGGGTTTCAGCCCCGTCCCTGTCCCCAGCTGTCCCCAGACCCTTCCCCAAACCCCCCTGTCGCACCCCTGACCCTTTGTCCCAACCCCGCCCCATTTGCCCCAACACTGCCCATTGGCCCCAAACCCTGCCCTGGGTCTCGCCCCAAACTCAACTCTCGGACCCAAATCTCCCCCTTGTGCCCCAAAAGTGCTCCAAGGGCCAAGATTTGGGGACAGCGGGTGAGGGTTGGGTCAGCGGCTGCGGCTGGGAGCCCAGAGTAGGGATTTGGGGCAGAATCCGGCGAGTTTTGGGGCCAAAGCAGGAGGGTTTGGGGCAGAACCAGTTTTTGGGTTTTGGGTCTTTGGTCACCATTGGTGGAAATGGGGGAGATCTGGGCCAAGGGGTAAGGATGAGGTCAAGGGCTGAGATTTGGGTAAAGGTTCTGAGATTTTGAGACAAGAGGGGCTCAGACAAGGGCGCTGCCACCACCGGCACGTTCAATAAAGGCAGCAGCAGCAGCCCAAGCAGCACCAACAGCTTTGGCACAGAAATAGGATCCGGAATCCTCGTCCTTGAGGTTGTTCATGGTCAGCGTCACCGAGCTCTGCCCGTTGTCCCTGGAGATCCTGAACCGGCCCTTGACCGATGGCGCCTACAAGGTGCCGCAACCATCGCTCCTGATTTAGGGGACGTATTCCAGCACCTGCCCGGGTCTCTGTCGGGCCCATTGCATGGCAAAACTGCTGAAACTGAACCCGGACCTTCGGCAGAGGAGGCGCAGGGAACCCCTGGGGGGCTGGAGGTCCCCCCCGCACTCCAGCAGGGTCACGGACGCCCGGAGCCCTGCGGGACAAAGGGGAGATGGGGCCAAAGCTCAACATTGACCCAAATCCTGAGTCTTGGCCGCAAATTCTGACCCCTGGACCTTCTCATCCTTCTCCAAAGTGGGTCCCGACTCTTTTCCAACTGGCCAAACCCACTTTGAGGTCCTCAGCCGATCAGGTTCCTGATCCCCATCTGCCCTTTGTCCCACAGCGCTCCGGGTGGCCGTGACCCTGCTGGAGTGCAGGGGGGACCTCCAGCCCCCCGGGGGATCCCTGCGCCTCCTCTGCCGAGGGTCCGGGTTCAATTTTGGACAATTTGGGATGGGCTGGATCCGCCAGAGACCCGGGCAGGGGCTGGAACACATCGGAGGGATCCAAAGCGATTGCAGCACCTACTACACGCCATCGGTTAAAGGCTGGGTCACGATCTCCAGGGACAACGGGCAGAGCTCGGTGACGATGACCATGAACAAACCCAAGGACGAGGATTCCGGATCCTATTTCTGTGCCAGATGCAGTGATGGTGGTTGGAATGGGGGTACTGTCGCTTATGGTGACAATCCTCAGCATCGCCCCAAGCCCGCAGCCCGAGTTCCCAAAATTTCCCAAAATCCTTCTCGCAATTCCCAACCCTTTACCCCATTCTTGACCTTACTCCCCAGTCTCCACTATTGCTGCCCAAATTCCTGATGTTTTCCCAATTTTGCCCATTTCACCGAAATCTCCCCCAGCTCCCCGGGCCCTGAGTTGAGCATGCCTGAACAGGAGGCCAGGGGTGAATGTTTGGGGCCAATGGTTGAGATTTGGGGCAGGAGCAGGGGAGGGTTTGGGGTCATTGCTGACCATTGGGGCAAATGGGGGAGATTTGGGAAAAAGGGTCAAGGGCTGAGGTTTGGGGGGCAATGTGAAGGAACGGTCTGGGTTTGGCGACAGGTGAGGACACAGAAATGGGGATGGATCCACCACTACGGCCATCATCATTATAAGCAGCAGCACCATCACCATAACCACTACCAACATGTTTGGCGCAGAAATAGGATCCGGAATCCTCGTCCTTGAGGTTGTTCATGGTCAGTGTCATCGAGTTCTGCCCGTTGTCCGTGGAGATCCTGAACTGGCCCTTGACCGACGGCGCATAGCCGGTGCTGCCACCACTGCTGCTGATATTGGCGATGTATTCCAGCGTCTGCCCAGGTCTCTGGCAGATCCAGTACATTCCATAACTCCCAAAACTGAACCCAGAGGCGCGGCACAGCAACGTCAGGGACCCCCCGGGTGGCTGGAGGTCCCCCCCGCACTCCAGCAGGGTCACGGCCGCCCAGAGCCCTGCGGGACAAAGGGGAGATGGGGATGAGAAGCCTGATTGGTCGAGGGGCTAAAAGTGGGCGTGGCCAGCTGGAATAAGAGGTAGGACCCAGCTGGGAGGAGGATGATGAACTGCAAGGGTCCCAATTTTGGGCCCAGAGTCAGGATTTGGGTCAATGTTGAGCTTTGGCCTCATCCCCATCTCCCCTTTGTCCCGCAGGGCTCCGGGCGGCCGTGACCCTGCTGGAGTGCGGGGGGGACCTCCAGCCCCTCGGGGGTTCCCTGCGCCTCCTCTGCCGAGGGGCCGGGTTCAGTTTTGGGAGTTATGGAATATTCTGGATCCCCCAGAAACCCGGTCAGGGTTTGGAATATGTCACAGGCATCAACAACACTGGTGGCACCACCTACTACAATCCATCGGTCAAGGGCCGGTTCAGGATCTCCAGGGACAACGGGCAGATCTCGGTGACGCTGACCATGAACAACCTCAAGGACGAAGATTCCGCCACCTATTTCTGTGCCAAGAGTGCTGGTGCTGGTTGGGCTGAAAGTGCTCATCTTATTGACGATGGCCTTGCTGTCCCCATCCCCATCCCCATCCCCGTGTCCCCCCCTTTCCCCGTTGCCCAGACCCTTCCCCCAAACCCCCAGCCGACACCCAGCCCTTGACCGCTGATCCCAACCTTGCTCTGCCCCGGCCCCAATTCTCACCCGCTGACCCCAAAGCACAACTCCAGACCCCAAATCTGCTCTTTGTGCCCCAAAACCTTGTTATAAAAGTGGATACTTCAAGCCAAGTGTTAAATTTTGAGTCAAATTTGTGGCAATGTGCAGAGAGCGGATTTCAGGCCGAACCACTCCAAGATTGGGACATGGGGACAGGAATGGGGTCCAGGCTTGGGGTTTTGGGGGAGGGTCCAGAGAATGGAGATAGGTGGGGACCAGGGAACAGGAACACAGCCAAATGCAACTGAAACATGAGAGTGACCAATACCTGCAGCAGCACCCCAACCAGCAGTACCAAAAACACTTCTGCCACAGAAATAGGATCCGGAATCCTCGTCCTTGAGGTTGTTCATGGTCAGGGTCACCGTGCTCTGCCCGTTGTCCCTGGAGATTCTGAACCAGCCCTTGACCGACGGCGCGTAGTAGGCGCTGCCAATGCTGTGGATACCCGCAAGCCACTCCAGCCCCTGCCCGGGTCTCTGGCGGACCCAGCTCATTCCAAAACTCCCAAAACTTAACCCGGACCCTCGGCAGAGGAGGCGAAGGGACCCCCCGGGGGGCTGGAGTTCCCCCCCGCACTTCAGCAGGGTTACGGCCGCCCGGAGCCCTGCGGCACAAAGGGGAGATTGGCACGGGTCCCGGCTGTGCCATTCTCGTTCCCTGCACAGAGTCAGACACCATCCTCTCTCTCCCTCTCTCTCCCTCTCTCTCTCTGTCTCTCTCTTTCTCACACATTTTTTTTCCTGGAGAAGCACAGAGAGAAGATGAAGATGAAACAATTCCCATCTCTCTTCGCTGCTCCTGCTGTTTCTGCAGGTGTGGAATGTGTCAGGGGGATTATTCCCCTCCAGGGATTTACCAGTTGGGTTCTGCTGCAGATTGTTTTTTTTCCTTGGCCAATGGGCTCCAAGCTGTTACCTGGCTGTGTCAGACACTCGCGGGGTTTCTTCAGGACATTTTAGGGTCTTTTGTACGGAATTCTTTTAGTATCTCTTTAGTGTAAGTGTAATATAGCATTAATGAGATATAATAGAGAATTGAAGAGATATAATATAGCATTAATGAGATATGATAGAGAAATAATGAGATATAATATAGCATTAATGAGATATAATATAATAATAATGAGATGTTATATAGAATTAATGAGATATAATATAGCATTAATGAGATGTAATGCAGTATTAATGAGATATAGTATAGTATTAATGAGATATAAAATAGAATTAATGTGATATAATATAGTGTGAAGAGATATAATATATTATTAATGAGATGTAATATAGTAATATTGAGATATAAAGTAGTATTTATGTAATAAAATATAATATTAGTGTAATGTATTAGAGATTTAATAGAGCAATATTTCAGCATTCTGAATCATGGAGTCAGATGCTGTGACCCTGCTGGAGTGCGGGGGGGACCTCCAGCCCCCCGGAAGGTCCCTGCGCCTCCTCTGCCGAGGGTCTGTGTTCAGTTTCGGGAGTTTCTCCATGCTCTGGCTGCGTCAGAAACCCGGGCAGGGACTGGAATACGTTGCAGCGATCTGGAGCAGTGGTTCCTACACCGCGTACGCGCCGTCGGTGCAGGGCCGGTTCAGGATCTCCAGGAAACACGGGCAGACCTCAGTGACGCTGACCATGAAGAACCTCAAGGACGGGGATTCCGGATCCTATTTCTGCTCCAAATCTGGCTATGATAATGATTGGAGTGCTGCTGCTTCTGATGAAGACACCAGTTGTGGATCCACACTAACCTCCAAGTCCCACCTGTCCCCAGACCTAGACTCTTCCCCCCCAAACCTCAGACCTTGACCCTTTGTCCGAAATCTCCCCCATTTACCCCAGTGGTCAGCACTGACCCCAACCCTCCCCTGCTCCTGCCCCAACACTCAACCATTGGCCCCAAACCTTCACCCCTGGCCTCCAGTTCAGGCCTCCTCCAATGAGGGCCCGGGAACTGGGGGAGATTTGGGTAAAATGGGAAAAACTGGGATAAGGTCGAAAGTTGGGGCAATGATGGTGGACACTGGGGGAGAAGGTCAAGAATTGGTCAAGGGTTGGAATTTGGGAAAGGATTTGGGGATTTTGGGACATTTCGGGAGCCAGGGATGGAGGTTTGGGGCCACCACCAGAGTCGTCACCATGTCCAGAGCTCCCAGAGAGGATTCCAGCCCAGCCCCAAGGAGCAGCCCCAGACACGGAGGCCGCTGAGGGAGAAGTGAAGCCCCAGCTGGGAGCGAGCGAGGGAGGGAGGGGGGAGAAGCTGCCGCGATTTTGGGGCTCCGCAGCCTCCCCCCACTTCCTCCCCGGCAGCTGCTGGGGCCCAGCCGGGGCAGGAAAGGAAACAGAAAATTCCTGGTTTTGGTCATGGTGAACATCTGTGTTTGGCAGAGGGCAGCTCAGCCTCTGGGCGCTGCGGCAGAGCGCCGGCTGCACAAAAAGCTTTGTGTATAAAGGCCCCTGGAGTGATCCTCGTTCCGCACTGGGACGGAGGGGAAGGGAAAGACTGGGGAGAAATGGGGAAAATAGAGGGAAATTGGGAATTGGGGAAGTGATGGTGGCATTTGAGGGAAATGGTCAAGATTTGAGAAATGCGTGAGAGGATTTTTGGGAAGGATCAGAAAATTTTGAGATATTTGGGGAGAGAGAGGAGAGGGCTTGGGACCACAACCATCATCAACACCATAAGCATAAGCACCATTACCACAACTACTGCTGTAATATCTGGCACAGAAATAGGTGGCAGAATCCTCGTCCTTGAGGTTGTTCATGGTCAGCGTCACCGAGTTCTGCCCATTGTCCCTGGAGATCGTGAACCGACCCTTGACCGATGGCACGTAGTAGGTGCTGGAACCAGTTTTGTAGATTCCAGCGAGCCATTCCAGCACCTGCCCGGGTCTCTTTCAGATCCAGTACATGTCAAAATTGCTGAAATTGAACCCGGACCCTCGGCAGAGGAGGCGCAGGGACCCCCCGGGGGGCTGGAGGTCCCCCCCGCACTCCAGCAGGGTCACGGCCGCCCGGAGCGCTGCGGGACAAAGGGGAGATGGGGATGAGGCCAAAGCTCAACCCTTGACAGAAATCCTGACTCTGGGCCCCAAACTGGGACACTTGGAGTTCATCATCCACCAGCCAGGTGGGTCCTGCCCCTTCTTCCAGCTGGCCACACCTGCTTTTAGGCCCTCGACCAATCAGGTTTCTCATCCCCATCTCCCCTTTGTCCGGGTGGCCGTGACCCTGCTGGAGTGCGGGGGGGACCTCCAGTCCCCCGGGGGGTCCCTGACATTGCTGTGCCGAGGGTCCGGGTTTGATTTCGGGAATTTCAACATGGGCTGGATGCGTCAAAGACCTGAGAAGGGGCTGGAAGTCGTGGCAGGGATCAGCAACAACGGGGGCAACATTGCCTACGCGCCACCGGTAAAAGGTCAGTTCAGGATCTCCAGGGACAACGGGCAGAGCTCAGTGACGCTGACCATGAACAACCTCAAGGACGAGGATTCCGGATCCTATTTTTGCGCCAAGGGTGTTTACAGTTGTTGTGCTGCTTCTGATGCTGATGTTGGGGATGCTGTTCTTGGCCCTGTTCCTCTCTCTGTGCCCCAGATCATTCCCTCCAAACCCAGACCCCACTCTTGACCCTGCGTCCCAACCATGCCCTGCTCTGGCCCCAAATGTCAACTCCTGGCCCCAAATCTCAGCTCCTGGCCCCTCCGGATCCTTTTTCTGCGGGAAATCTCCTGGCAGCGGTGGTGCTTATGCTGCCGGCTATATTGAGAGTGCCGACCATGGCCCCATCCCCAACCCGCATTAGGAGCAGCACCGTAACCATCAGCATCCTTGGCACAGAAATAGGATCCGGAATCCTCGTCCTTGAGGTTGTTCATGGTCAGCGTCACCGAGCTCTGCCCGTTGTCCTTGAAGATCCTGAAATGGTCTTTGACTGATGGTGCGTAGTAGGTGGCACCATTGCCCCAGGTCGCCGCGATCCACTAAAGCCCCTGCCCGGGTCACTGGCACATCCAGCCCATCCCAAAACTGCTGAAACTGAACCCGGACCCTCGGCAGAGGAGGCGCAGGGACCCCCCGGGGGACTGGAGGCCTCCCCGGACTCCAGCAGGGTCACGACCACTCCCCGATCACCAACCCTTCCCCAGTTTTACCCCAAATTCCCTTTGTCTGGACTCAAATATTCTACAGAGGTTTCCATTATTGTACAGTACCTTAAACCCTGCAATTAGCCCCAGTCAACCCATTAATTATTCGACAGCTCCACCTGGCTTTTGCATCGCCCCATCCCCATCTCCCCTTTGTCCCGCAGGGATCCGGGCGGCCGTGACCCTGCTGGAGTGCGTTGGGGACCTCCAGCCCCCCGGGGGGTCCCTGATGTTGCTCTGCATCGGCTCTGGGTTCACTCTGGCCAATCACGACATGTTCTGGATCCGCCAGAGACCCGGGCAGGGGCTGGAGTTTGTCGCCCACATCACCTACAATGGAGGCTACACCATCTAGAGTCCATCGGTGCAGGGCCGGTTCAGGATCTCCAGGGACAACGGGCAGAGCTCGGTGACGCTGACCATGAACAACCTCAAGGACGAGGATTCCGGATCCTATTTCTGTGCCAGACGTCGTAAATATTGGGGCACTGATTATGTTTTATTGATGACACCGGCAGCGATCCCACACTCATTATGGGTAACAAATATCTCCAGTCCCCAGCGATCCTTCCCCCAAGTTCCAGCCCTTCTCAAATCTTGATCATTTCTCCCCAAACTCTGCCCCTGCTACCCCTACTCTTGAATTTCCCACAATTTTGCCCATTTCACCCCAATCTCCCTTAGCTCCCGGGCCCTGACTGGAGGAGGCCTGAACTGGAGGCCAGAGGTGAAGGTTTGGGGCCAATGGTTGAGTGTTGGGGCAGGAGCAGGGGAGGGTTTTGGGTCAGTGCTGACCATGGGGGCAAATGGGGGAGATTTGGGACAAAGGGTCAAGGGCTGAGGTTCGGGACAAGGGTCTGGGATTTGGGGCAGGGGGGCTCAGACAGGGGTGGTGCCACCACTGGCACGGTCAATATAAGCAGCAGCACCACCACCACCAGCACCACTGCCTTTTGCAGAGAAATAGGTGGCGGAATCCTCGTCGTTGAGGTTGTTCATGGGCAGCGTCACCGAGCTCTGCCCGTTGTCCCTGGAGATCCTGAACCGGCCCGTGACTGATGGCGCGTAGTAGGTGCTGGAACCAGAAGGACTGCTGATCCCCGCGAGCCACTCCAGGCCCTGCCCGGGTCTCTGGCGGATCCACTGCATGGGAAAACTGCCGAAACTGAACCCGGACCCTTGGCAGAGGAGGCGCAGGGATAGCCCCGGTGGGCTGGAGGTCCCCCCCGCACTCCAGCAGGGTCGCGGCCGCTCGGAGCCCTGCGGGACAAAGGGGAGATGGGGATGAGGCCAAAGCTCAACCCTTTACCCAAATCCTGACTCTTGGCCCCAAACTGGGACTCGTGGAGTTCATCATTTACCTCCCAGCAGGTCCCATCACGTTTTCCAGCAGACCACATGCACTATGAGACATTCAAGCGATCAGGTTTTTCATTTCCATCACCTCCCCTTTGCCCCGCAGTGCTCCGGGCGGCCGTGACCCTTCTGGAGTATGGGAGGGACCTCCAGTCCCCCGGGGGGTCCCTGCGCCTCCTCTGCCGATGGTCCAGGTCCGATTTCGGGAGTTTCTCCGTGTTCTGGATGCACCAGAGACCCGGGCAGGCGCTGGAATGGCTCACAGGGATCAGCAGTGATGGTGCCAACAACTTCTACGTGCCATCGGTCAAGGGCCGGTTCACAATCTCCAGGGACAATGGGCAGAGCTCAGTGACGCTGACCATGAACAACCTCAAGGACGAGGATTCCGGATCCTATTTCTGTGCCAAATGTTGCAGCAGTGGCTGTGGTAATGGTGCTTATGCTTAAGGTGTTGATGGTGGTTGTGGTCCCAAGCCCTTTTTTCTGTGTTCCCAAGTATCACAGAATTCTCTGATCCTTCCCCAAAATCCTGGCTCTATTTCTCAAATCTCAAATATTTTCCCCCATACTCCACCATCACTTCCGCAATTCCCAAATTTCTCCCAATTTTTCCTCATTTCTCCCCTTTCTGGCCATTCCCCTCCGTCCCAGTGCGGAACGGGGATCGTTCCAGGGCCATTTGCACACAAAGCTTTTTGTGCAGCCGGCGCTCTGCCGCAGCGCCCCGAGGCTGAGCTGCCCTCTGCCAAACACAGATGTTCACAATGACCAAAACCAGGAAATTTCTGTTTCCTTCCCTGCCCCGGCTGGGCCTCAGCAGCTGCCGGGGAGGAAGTGGGGGGAGGCTGCGGAGCCCCAAAATTGCGGCGTCTTCTCCTCCCTTGCTTCCCCTCACGCTCCCACCTGGGGCTTCACTTCTCCCTCAGCGGCCGCGGTGTCTGGGGCTGCTCCTTGGGGCTGGGCTGGAATCCTCTCTGGGAGCTATGGAGAAAAAACCCTTTTTTTTTTTCCCCATAACTCTTGAAAGTTAGGGGAGAGGAAATTGTTGGAATTGATCTCAAGTCGAGGGTTCCATGCTGAGAGAAGAAGATGGGTGCATGGGTGGAGTCACCTGGAACGTTCCATTGGTCAAGGGCAGGGTCAGGATGGCCAAAGAGAGCTCAGGAGCCAAAATGGTCCCGAGTGGGCCCTGAGCTGAGGTGTGGGGCCAGGATCTGAGAATGTGGGGCAGAGCCAGGGCAGGGTTGGGGCCCGGGGAAAGGAATGGGGACCGGGGCTGGGGATTGGGGAAGGGTCTGGGGAACGGGGACAGGGGGGGACAGGAGACGGGGTCAAGAGCATCAGCACGAGCAACATTTCCAGTAACAGTGGTTTTGGCACAGAAATAGGTGGCGGAATCCTCGTCCGTGAGGTTGTTCTTGGTCAGCGTCACTGAGCTCTACCCCTTGTCCCTGGAGATCCAAAACTGCCCCTTGACCGATGGTGCGCAGTAGGTGCTGCCACCACTGTGTATGCTTCCAACCCACTCCAGCCCCTGTCCTGGTCTCTGTCGAACCCAATCCATTTCGAAACTGCCAAAACTGAACCCGGACCCTCGGCAGAGGAGGCGCAGGGACCCCCCGGGGGGCTGGAGGTCCCCCCGCATTCCAGCAGAGTCACGGCTGCCCGGAGCCCTGCGGGACAAAGGGGAGATAGGCATGGGAAACCTGATTGCTTGAGGACCTCAAAGTGGGTTTGGCCGGTTGGAAAAGAGTCGGGACCCACTTTGGAGAAGGATGAGAAGGTCCAGGGGTCAGAATTTTGGGCCAAGAATCAGGATTTGGGTCAATGTTGAGCTTTGGCCCCATCTCCCCTTTGTCCCGCAGGGCTCCGGGCGGCCGTGAGCCTGCTGGAGTGCGGGGGGGACATCCAGCCCCCCGGGGGGTCCCTGCGCCTCCTCTGCCGAAGGTCCGGGTTCAGTTTCGGCAGTTTTAGGATGGGCTGGGTTCGACAGATTCCTGAGAACGGGCTGGAATCGGTGGCAAGGATCAGCAAAGGTGGCAGCGCCTACTATGCGGATTCGGTCAAGGGCCGGTTCACGATCTCCAGGAACAACGGGCAGAGCTCGGTGACGATGACCATGAACAACCTCAAGGACGAGGATTCCGTATCCTATTTCTGTGTGAAATCTTTTAATACTGCTACTCCTGCTGCTGGTTATGGTGACAGGGCTGGTGTTGGTCCTGTTCCCATGGCTGTGTCCCCACCTGTCCCCGTTCGCCAGACCCTTCCCTCCAACCCCTGACCCCACTCCTGACCCTTTGTCCCAAGCCTGCCCTGCTCTGACCCCAAATCTCAGCTCCTGGCCCCAAATTTCAGCTCCTGGCCCCAAATCAGGGCCGGTTTCACCCTGAGCTCACCCTCGTCCCACAAATCCCAACCATTTTTGCATAACTGGACCCACTCTGCCCCAAAATTTCAGTGGTGGAACTGTGTCATAGCCACAGACAAAATTTTGCCGATTTTCCCCAAATCTCGACCATTTGCACTCCGGTTTGGGGACCTCGGTTGAGCCTTGGAGCCCAGAGCTGAGGTTTGGGGCCAGGAGCTGAGATTTGGGGAAGAACCAGTTTAGAGCTGGGACAGGGGACTGGAATGGGGTCAGGGGCTGGAGATTGGGGATGGGTCTGGGAAATGGGGACGGGGGGACGTGCGGATAGGGACAGGGCAAAAACTCTCAGCAGCAGAATCCCAATTTTTGAAATCGCAGTTGGCACAGAAATAGACGGCGGAATCCTCGTCCTTGAGGTTGTTCATGGTCAGCGTCACCGAGCTCTGCCCGTTGTGCCTGGAGATCGTGATCCGGCCCTTGACCTCGGATGGGTACCAGGTGTATCCACCACTGTCAAGGCATGCGACTGTTTCCAGTCCCTGCCCGGGTCTCTGGCGCACCCAGCCCATCCCAACACTGCCGACATCGAAACCGGACCCTCGGCACAGCAACGTCAGGGACCCCCCTGGCGGCTGGAGGTCCCCCCCGCACTCCAGCAAGGTCACAGCCGCCCGGAGCCCTGCGGGACAAAGGGGAGATGGGGATGGGAAACCTGATTGGTCCAGAAGGGGAAAAGGGGAGTCACTTCCAGGAAAAAGGTGCGGGGCCACCTGGGAGGGGCAGCAGGAGCAGCAGGGCCAGGAGCTGGAGGGAACTCGAGGCTGTGGCCGGGATGTGCCCGGGTTGGGATCCCGGGGAGAATTGGGGGTCGTAAACAGTGTATTAACTGCGTAATCAATGCAGATTCGGTGGCAAGGATCAGCAAAGGTGGCACTTTAGACAGGATGAGGTGTCTAAGTAATTAAAGAATGGATTGGGGTTAATTGCAGTGTTTGAGGCATGTTGAGATATGGAAAACTCTGGTGGGGTTTTGGGGCAAAACAAGGGCAGTAATGAGAGAAATTGGTGAAGGTTTGGGGATGGGCTCTGGGCGGCCGTGACCCTGCTGGAGTGCGGGGGGGACCTCCAGCCCCCCGGGGGGTCCCTGCGCCTCTTCTGCCGCACCTCTGCCTTTGATTTCGAAAAATTTGCAATGCTGTGGATCTGGCAGAGACCCAGGCAGGGTCTGGAAATGGTGGCAGGGATCAGCAGAAGAAGTGGCAGCATCTTTTACGCGGACTCGGTCAAGGGCCGGTTCACATTGACGAGTGACAACGGGCAGAGCTCGGTGACGCTGACCATGAACAACCTCAAGGACGAGGATTCCGGATCCTATTTCTGTGCCAAAACCAGTACTGATGGTTGTTGTAATGCTGCTGCTCGTCTTGATCAAACTGATCTAATCACTGCGTCCCTGTCTGCCTCCCCGCGCCCCAGACCCTTCCCCCTGACCCCACTCCTGTCCCTCAGTCCCAGCCCTGCTCTGGCTCTGCCCAAAATGTCCCCTCTGGGCCACACTCAGTGCCCTCATTCCTCAAATGTCACTGAAATGTCAGGATTTGAGCCCAGAGTTAAGATCAGGGATCAAGAATTCAAATGTGGCCTAAAATTCCCGATCTGAGGCCAATGGCGCGGATTTGGGTCGGTGGCTGTCACTTTGTGTCCGCAGGGGAGATTTGGGGTAAAACTGGACAAGTCTGGGGGCAGTGGTTGGGATTGGAGGGACGAGGCGGAGCTCAGGGTGAAACCAGCCCTGATTTGGGGCCAGGAGCTGAGATTTGGGGCCAGGAGCAGAGATTTGGGGCCAAGGGCTGAGATTTGGGGCCAGGAGCTGAGATTCGGGGCCAGAGCAGGGCAGGGTTGGGACACGGGGACAGGAATGGGGTCAGGGGCTGGGGTTTTTTGGAAGAGTCTGGGGAACGGGGACGGGAGGGGACACAGGAATGGGGCCGAAATGTCAAAAATCAGCAGCATAAGGAGCAGCACCAGCACCAGTGCGTTGGGCACAGAAATAGGATCCGGAATCCTCGCCCTTGAGGTTGTTCATGGCCAGCGTCACTGAGCTCTGCCCATTTTCGCTGGAGATCGTGAACCGACCCTTGAACGATGGCGTGTACCCAGTCCAACCACCATTGTAGCTGATACTCGCAACCCACTGCAGCCCCTGCCCGGGTCTCTGGCACAACCAGAACATGTCGTAGCTTCCGAAACTTATCCCGGACCCTCGTCAGAGGAAGCGCAGGGACCCCCCGGGGGGCTGGAGGTCCCCCCCGCACTCTAGCAGGGTCACGGCCGCCCAGAGCCCTGCAGGAAAAAGGGGAGATGGGGATGGGGCCAAAGCTCAACCCTTGACCCAAATCCTGAACCTTGGCCGCGAATTGGGACCCTTAGACCTCCTCTACCGCAGCGACCAGAGGCTGAGCTGCCCTCTGCCAAACACAGATGTTCACAATGACCAAAACCAGGAACTTTCTGTTTCCTTCCCTGCCCTGGCTGGGCCCCAGCAGCTGCCGGGGAGGAAGTGGGGGGAGGCTGTGGAGCCCCAAAATCACGGCGTCTTCTCCTCCCTCCCTCCCTCGCTCCCACCTGGGGCTTCACTTCTCCCTCAGCGGCCTCGGTGTCTGGGGCTGCTCCTTGGGGCTGGGGCTGGAATCCTCTCTGCGAGCTCTGGAGAATAAACCCCCTTTTTTAACCAAAAACACATGAAATTTTGTGGAGATGAAACTGTTTAAATTGATCTCGAGCCAAGGGCTCCATGCTGAGAGAAGCAGATGGGTGCAAGGGTGGACTCACCTGGAACGTCCCATCGGTCAAGGGCCGGGTCAGCACCGCCAGGGACAGCGGGCTGAGCTCGGTGACGTTGGCCATGTGTGACCACAGGGGAAAGGTCTGGGGACAGCTGAGGACACAGCGATGGGGACAGGGCCAAAAGCACCGGCAAAATCAGCATTGCCACCAGAAATACACTTGGCACAGAAATAGGATCCGGAATCCTTGTCCTTGAGGTTGTTCATGGTCAGGGTCACCGAGCTCTGCCCGTTGTCCCGGGAGATCGTGACGCGGCCCTTGACCGATGGTGCATAGAAGGTGTTTTCACCATCAGGATTGATCCCAGCAACGAATTCCAGTGTCTGCCCAGATCTCTGACGGATCCAGATCATTCCAAAACTCCCAAAATTGAAACCAGATGCGCGGCACAGCAACGTAAGTGACCCCCCGGGGGCTGGAGGTCCCCCCCGCACTCCTGCAGGGTCATGACTGCCCGGAGCCCCGCGGGACAAAGGGGAGATATGGGATGAGAAACTTGATTGGTTAAGAGTGCCCTAGTTGGCCTGGCATGCTTCAAAAAGTGGCGGGACCCACCTGGGAGGAGGATGATGAACTCCAAGGGTCCCAGTTTAGGGCCAATAGTCAGGATTTGGGTCAAGGGTTGAGCTTTGGCCCATCCCCATCTCCCCTTTGTCCTGCAGGGCTCCGGGTGGCCGTGACCCTGCTGGAGCGCGGGGGGTATCTCCAGCCCCCCAGGGGTTTCCCTGACATTGCTGTGCGGAGGGTCCGGGTTCGATATCGGCAGCATCACCATGTTCTGGGTTTGCCAGAGACCCGGGCAAGCGCTGGAGTGGGTTGGGAGCATCAGGAAGGTGGACTGGAGCTCCATGTACGTGCCGTCGGTGCAGGATCAGTTCACAATCTCCAGGGACAACGGGCAGAGCTCGGTGACGTTGACCATGAAAGACCTCAAAGACGAGGATTCCGGATCCTATTTCTGTGCCAAATCTGCTGCTGCTGCTGTTGGTGGTTATAATGTTGGTGCTTTTGGCCGGCTATTGGGACGCGCCTGTCCCCGTTCCCCAGACCCTTCCCACCAAACCCTGACCCTGCTCCTGCCCTTTGTCTCAACTTTGCCCTGCTCTGGCCCCACATCTCAGCTCCTGGCCCCAAATCTCAGCTCCTTGCCCCAAATCTCAGCTCCTGCCCCATATCTCAGCTCCCGGCCTCAAATCTCAGCTCCTGACCCAAATCAGTTCCGGTTTGACCCTGAGCTCAGCCTCGTCCCTCCAATCCCAACCACTGCCCCCAGACTTGTCCAGTTTCACCCCAAATCTCCCCTGCGGGGACCGAGTCCCAGCCACCGACCCAAATCTGGCCACGTTAGCCTCACATCTGGAATTTCAGGCCAAAATTTGAATTTTGACTCCTGACCTTTACTTTGGCCCCAAATTTTGAAAAATTAAACGTAATTTGAGGAAAGAGGGCACTGAGTGTGGCCCAAAGGGGACATTTTGGGCAGAGCCAGAGCAGGGCTGGGACAAAGGGTGAGGAAAAGGGGTCAGGGGCTTGGGTTTGGGTGAAGGGTCTGGGGAACGGGGACAGGAGGGGGCCCAGCCATGGGGAAGGAGTCAATAGCATACGCAGTATTAGAACCAGCAGCAGCACGAACACCTTTGGCACAGAAATAGGTGGCGGAATCCTCGTCCTTGAGGTTGTTAATGGTCAACGTCACCGAGCTCTGCCCATTGTCCCTGGAGATCGTGAACCGGCCCTTGACCGACGGCGCGTAGGCGGTGCTGGAACCACTGCTGTAGATGCCTGCGAGCAACTCCAGCCCCTGCCCGGGGCTCTGGCAGATCCAGTGCATGTCAAAATTCCCAAAACTGAATCCGGACCCTCGGCAGAGGAGGCGAAGGGACCCCCCGGGGGGCTGGAGGTCCCCCTCGCACTCCAGCAGGGTCACAGCCGCCCGGAGCCCTGCGGAACAAAAGGGGGATGGGGATGGGGCGATGCAAAGGTCCGGCAGAGTTGTCCAATTAATTAATGGATGGATTTGGTCTAATTGCAGGGTTTAGGGAACTTTTCCATACAGGAAATTTCTGTTAGATATTTGGGGCCCGACAAAAGGAAATTTGGGGAAAAACCAGTGAAGGTTTGGGGATGGGGAAGAGGCCGTGACCCTACTGGAGTGTGGGGGGGACCTCTAGTCCCCCGGGGGGTCCCGGCGCCTTCTCTGCCGAGGGTCTGGGTTCAGTTTTGGCGTTTATGAAATGTTCTGGATCCATCAGAGACCCGGGTAGGGGCTGGAGTGGGTCGCGGGAATCAGCAGTGGTGGTTACTCCGAGTACGTGCCATCGATCAAGGGCCGGTTCACCTTCTACAGGGACAACAGGCAGAGCTCGGTGACGCTGACCATGAACAACCTCAAGGAAGAGGATTCCGGATCCTATTTCTGTGCCAAAGCTGCTGGTGCAAGGTGGGGTAATGATGTCTCTGCTCTTGGCCTCTTGCCATTGACTGGATCCCCTGCTGTCCCCAATCCCCAGGCCCTTCCCCCAAATCTCAGTCCGTGACCCCATTCCTGACCCTTTGTCCCAGATCTCCCCCATTTCCCACACCACCAACCATGGATCCAAAACCCCCAAAGTGATTGTGCCCCAAACCCAACTGCTTTGGCCCCAAAACTCACCCAATTCTGCCCCAAATCCCCACTTAGGGCTCCCAGCCACAGTTGCTGACACTAATCCTCAACCTTTGTCCCATAATCGGGACCCTGGGCCTCAAACCCCGACCTTCAGAGCCAAGTTATGCGGCACAAAGGGGAGATTTGGGGTCAGGAGTTGTGGTTTGGTGTTGGGAAATTTAGCAGACTAGAGAATGGAAAAGTACAAAGCCGTGGCTAATTCCAAATCTTGCACCTGTGAGATAGTGTGTCCTTGGGCCTAGCTGTAGTAGGATAACAAACAGTGAAAGAGACATAAGAAAAGAGAGATGTAACCCCTAAGGAATGAGGAAGAGTTCATGGCAGAGTTTAACCAATAGATTGCTTGGCTTACAGAATATTCATAAGCTTATTATTTGCTGTATAAGTGTTTGATTCTTTCTTCACTAAACCAGACATGTGATGAACCAGTTGGTGTCCTGGTCCCCATCCTACGACACAATCAGGTCTCTCATACCCATCTCCCCTTTGTCCCGCGGGGCTCTGGGCGGCCGTGACGCTGCTGGAGTGCGGGGGGGACCTCCAGCCCCCCGGGGGGTCCCTGCGCCTCCTCTGCCGAGGGTCCGGGTTCAGTTTTGGGGATTTTTATATGCACTGGATCCGCCAGAGACCCGGGCAGGGGCTGGAATTCGTCGCGGGGATCAGCAGCCCTTCTGGTTCCAGCACCGCCTACGCGCCGTCAGTCAAGGGCCGGTTCAGAATCTCCAGGGACAACGGGCAGAGCTCGGTGACGCTGACCATGAACAACCTCAAGGACGAGGATTCCGCTGCTTATTTCTGTGCCAAATGTTACACCAGTGGTTGTGGTGGTGGTGGTGCTGCTCATGGTGTTGATGGTGGCTGTGGTCCCAAGCCCTCTCCTCTCTCTTCTTAAATAGCTCAGAATTCTCTGATCCTTCCCCAAAATCCTGGCTCTTTTTCTCACATCTCAGATATTTTCCCCCAAACCCCACCATCACTTCCCCAATTCCCAATTTCCCCCCAAATTTGCCCATTTCTCCCCAATCTCCCCCAGTTCCCCTCCGTCCCAGTGTGGAACGGGGATCGCTCCAGGGCCATTTGCACACAAAGCTTTTTGTGCAGCCGGCGCTCTGCCGCAGCGCCCAGAGGCTGAGCTGCCCTCTGCCAAACACAGATGTTCACAATGGCCAAAACCAGGAACTTTCTGTTTCCTTTCCCTGCCCCAGCCGGGCCCCGGCAGCTGCCGGGGAGGAAGTGGGGGGAGGCTGCGGAGCCCCAAAATCACGGCGTCTTCTCCTGCCTCCCTCCCTCGCTCGCTCCCAGCTGGGGCTTCACAGCTCCCTCAGCGGCCGCGGTGTCTGGGGCTGCCCCTTGGGGCTGGGCTGGAATCCTCTCTGGGAGTTCTGGAGAAAAAACCCTTTTTTTTTTTCCTAAAAACACATGAAATTTTGTGGAGATGAAACTGTTGAAATTGATCTCGAGCCAAGGGCTCCATGCTGAGAGAAGCAGATGGGTGCAAGGGGTGACTCACCTGGAAAGTTCCATGTTTCAAGGGCAGGGTCAGCACGGCCAGGGACATCGGGCAGAGCTCGGTGACGCTGGCCATGTGTGACCAGAGGGGAAAGGTCTGGGGACAGCTGAGGACACGGGGATGGGGACAGGGCCAGAAGCACTGGCAATATCAGCATTGCCACCAGAAATACGCTTGGCACAGAAATAGGATCCGGAATCCTTGTCCTTGTGGTTGTTCATGGTCAGCGTCACCGAGCTCTGCCCGTTGTCCCTGGAGATCGTGGACCGGCCCTGCACCGATGGCACTTAGAAGGTGTTGACACCATCAGCGTTGATCCGAGCAATGAATTCAGGCGCCTACCCGGGTCTGTGTCGAACCCAGCCAATCCCAAAACTGCCGAAACTGAATCCCAAAACTGCCGAAACTGAACCCGGACCCTCGGCAGAGGAGGCGCAGGGACCCCCCGGGGGGCTGGAGGTCCCCCCTGCACCCCAGCAGGGTCATGGCCGCTCGGGGCCCTGCGGGACAAAGGGGAGATGGGGATGAGAAACCTGATTGGTTCAGAAGGGGAAAAGGGGCGGGGCCACCCGGTGAGTCCAGTCCCTTTTTCCAGCTGGCCACACCTGCTTTGAGGCCCTAGACCAATCAGGTTTTCCATGCCCATCTCCCCTTTGTCCCGCAGGGCTCCGGGCAGCCGTGACCCTGCTGGAGTGCGGGGGGGACCTCTAGCCCCCCGGGGGGTCCCTGCGCCTCCTCTGCCGAGCGTCTGGGTTCGGTTTTGGGAGCTACGACATGTACTGGGTGCGCCAGAGACCCGGGCAGTGGCTGGAATGGCTCGCGTGGATCAGGAACTATGGTGCGAACTCCGGCTACGCGGATTCGGTCAAGGGCCGGTTCACGATCTCCAGGGACAACGGGCAGAGCTCGGTGACGCTGACCATGAACAACCTCAAGGACGAGGATTCCGGATCCTATTTCTTTGCCAAATGTTACAGCAGTGGCTGTGGTCCTAATATTGATGCTGGTTATGATGACGATGCCAGTGGTGGCCCCCTCCTCGATACTGTGCCCACAAACATTGTGAAACCCCACATTCTACCCCCAAATCTTTAGTGTTGGCCACAAATCTTGACCATTTTCCCCAATCTCCCCAATCATTGTCTCACCTCACACATTTCCAACGGGCTGTCAGAATTTGAAATAATTCTCCAAGGTTAATCCCCTCAACTCTGCCTTGTGTGCCCCAGATCTCAGCAGGGTTAGCTTGTTACCATTGGCCCCAAACTCAGCTGGTTCTGCCCCAAACCTCAGCTCTTGTCACCAATCCTCAGCTCTTGGCTCCAAGTCTCAACCAAGGTCCCCAGACATGGGTGCAAACGGTCGAGATTGGGGAAAAACAGGCCAGATTTGGGTCTGTGGGGGGCAACAATTGGGGCAAGGGTTGGAGGGAAGGACCTGGGGAACGGGGAAAGGTGGGGATGCAATGATGGGGACGGGACCAAAATTCGAACCAGCAGCATGAGCCTCCCAAACCCAACCATCATAGGCGTTTTTGGCGCAGAAAAGGGATCCGGAATCATTGTCCTTGAGGTTGTTCATGGTCAGCGTCACCGAGCTCTGCCCGTTGTCCCTGGAGATTGTGAACCGGCCCTGCACCAAAGGCGCGTAGTAGGTGCTGCCACCATTGCTGATACTTGCGACAGCTTCCAGCCCGTGTCCAGGCCTCTGGCGATGCCAGCCCATCCCAAAACTGCAAAAATTGAACCCGGACCTACGGCAGAGGTGGCGCAGGGACCCCCCGGGGGGCTGGAGGTGCCCCCCGCACTCCAGCAGGGTCACGGCCGCCTGTAGCCCTGCGGGACAACGGGGAGATGGGGATGGGGAAAAAAATCAACCCAAATATTAATTCTTCCATGCAGATCCTGATGTTGGCCACTAATTGGGACCCTTGGAGTTCATCATCCTCCTCCTGCAACTCCCGGCAGTCATCCCAGGTGGATCCCACACCCTTTTTCTGGCATGGCGGTGCCCACTTTTTCCATAACCA